AAGCTGCGATAGCTGACGAAATTCTTCAAGTAAAGGAGATGTATGAACAGCGTTTGAGCGTTTGCGATGCTGCCCACGAAGAAGCCTTACGTTGCTTAGAATCGGAGCATAAACGTGTCCTTGAGGAAAAGGAGAATGAGGTAAGTCGTTTTTCGCAAGGCATTTCTAATCAAAGAGCTGCCTAACATATGTGTGTGAATGTGTAAAAATATCTTAATGCAGGGCGGACTCTTTTAGCATCTATTGCTATTTTATTATTTGTCTTTGCATTTTTAATTTCACCTTTTTTTTGTGCTAAATTTGAAAAAATTGGATTTAGCTGAAAGCTGAGCTCAAATTGGCGCACGATGAACTGATTCGACTAAAAGAGGAGCTGAGCGAAGCTGAACAGAATGCTTCTAAAGTTAGTCATTGACGTTTATCTCATGCCCTGGAACCTGAATTCTTGGTTGTTCCTCCTCCCCCCTCCCCCCCTCCCCCCTTCCCGTCTAAAAAAAATTTATTTGGTAAAATTCGTTGAAAAATAGACTTTTACTTTTTGTTTAAATAATATATTAGTTATTCATAGTTGAATTGCAGATTGTGAAAGAAAGCGCTGAGATCTCGCAACTGGAGCAGAGTCTTCTAGAAGCTAATGGTAGATGCAGTGAGTTGGAGAAAGCGAATCAAGGACTCCAAAAAAACATTGATGAGGTTGCTTATATGGAGTTTTTTCTCCCGCTTCTGGGAGCCATTCTTGTCTAGCTGCTTAGTGATCTGTTCTCGATAGCTGTGATTCTTTCATCGCTGCTGGTCCTCAACTGCAGTCATTCACAGCTCGATTGATTGTTATCAAAAATGTTTCCGCGTAGTCGATGCAACACGCCAGAGGCGCCGGGCGGTTCTTTCGTGTTAAGGAAAATGAAATCTTAAGAATTAATGTTGAACAAGTAGTGAAGAAGTTCGGGCAGGCAGCGAACCCGAGCATATAAAATGAAAAGCAAAGGCGCAGTACAGTAAATTTCTGCATACTGCGATGCTGTATGGCTCAAGATGGGAAATTACGATTATTACAGCGCAGTAAAATTGTGCTTTTTGCCTTGGACTTCCACTATCGGGTTTATCACACTGAGCTTCAGATGTCTTGTCATTCAGCCAATTATTTTTCTGATTTACAGACATTTGCTCAGCTGTCGCAAAGTGAAAGAGCTCGAACTGAACTTGTCGCATTGGTGGAACAGAAGCATGCGGAAAGTGTGAATTATCATGCCCAACTGCAGATATTACTTGCCGAAAAGGAACAGCAGAGTGCCGCCTTTTTAGCATTCAAAGAAAAAGTAACTGTGCTGGAGCAAGAACTGAGCAGGTTTTTGTTGATTTTATGGAATGCTGTCGCAGAAATGTGAATGACAGGCAGTTTTGAATGTTTTTGGCAATTTTACCTAAACTTTTAAAGAAAAAAAAATTATTTCAGTTCTACTGAAGCTCGAAA